CGTCAGGAATGGGCGACCGGTCGCCAGAAGTTTTCCCTCCAGACTTTGAATCTGCTTCTAAGCGACCGGTCGCAAATGTCAAGCGACCGGTCGCTCGTGTTCCTGCCACCAGTCGCAAAGAACTAGCGACCGGTCGCTCCTTGGTTTAGCTCCAGACCTCGAATCTGCCAGAAAACGACCGGTCGCAACTTCCCAGCGACCGGTCGCTTTTAGGCAGTTTCAAATACTCCCTTTGAGCGCCAAAACCTTTGTATCCTTTAGGTGAGCCATTTTTTCCAACAGCTGCATAGGCCGCTGCACTTTGGTTTTGGTTGGCAAATGTCAGCTGGTTCACAAGGTTATAGGGACTAACAAACTATTTCCAACTGGTGATTGACGTCCAAACTTTGTTAGGTTGTTCAACTTTCCTGGTAGAATTGCATGAGATGTGTTCACGTTTATTGCAACAGATTGATCCATAGATGATTGGGGAGGGTTTTGATTCGGTAGAGATATACCTTCTGAGAAGACACCCGGATTCTTTTGGTTGAGTTTGGCCTGCATGGTCTTCATATCTGCTATTAAATCTCCATTAGCAGCCGATTGCTGTTGTAGAGCAGCTAAAGTTCCAGCATGTTTAACGAGTTGAGGTTTCATTAGCATATTGACTAGCAGTTCCAAACATAGAATTGAAATCGAGTAAGGAAAAGAGTTCCCATTTCCAATCTCAGGAACCCGAATGTATGGTCTTTTAATCAAATTTCCCCACTCAGTTTCTGCTCCTAGTAGCACGAAAAAGTCATTAAAAAAACATCTAACAGTCTTCCCTGCTTGAAAACAGAATAAAAAACTTACCCGAGAATCCAGAGTGTAATGGTCGTTTAAGACTCGAAGTCAGAGAAGGAAATATGAAAAGATTTTCGGGAGTCTCAATTTCCCATGAACTAACCCTGTTCTGTTTACCACAACACCCTGGCTCATCCCACTCTAATTATAATATTGATTAGGGAACATAAAAGCAAGATCACTTGGTAAAAGCTCAGAGTAGCTTAAGCCACCTGAAGATTCCTCCACTTTGAACCAGGCCATCTCAGTGGATCTAAATCACTAATACCGACTATTGTACCCATATACCTGCAGAGAACATGCAAAAATGTTAACCTCTGGCTACACATTAAAGCAATGAACATAACATTATCACATTGATAATGAAGATGTTAATGTATCATGCAGAAAATATTGAAACCTGCTGCATTCTATCATCATAGAAAAGATTACGAAAGACCAGACGGATATCTGGACATGCTGTGGCATGCTGTTTACTACACCAATCACTGCTGTTTATTTCATCATGACATGCTGTGGCACGTAATTAATTTACAATGAAATTTGGCCATTACGTTCAAACGCTTGACGAGATTGAGAAAGGGAGTTAGAGAAGTTGCAGGCGATGCTGCCAAAAGATCGTGAGAAGCTGAAGACAAGCTTTTGAACGTGCGTGTACTCCTTCTCTTTCTTTTTTTCTTTTGTCAAATTAAAAGGGGTGTTTGAATAAAACAAGGAGTATGAGTGTGGGTTAATATTATTAGTGATATGTGCCGTTAGATTAATCTAAGGGCCGTTTTTAAAGAGGACCTCACAGGACCTCATTTTTAGGACCTTTGGTAAGCAGGACTGCATTATTAAATAGATGTAGATGTTTGTCGATCATTTGCTTGTTCTGGGAAGTTGGATCTAGATGTTTGTCGTTCTCAAGGACCTTTGGTAAGCAGGACTGCATTATTAAATAGATGTAGATGTTTGTCGATCATTTGCTTGTTCTGGGAAGTTGGATCTAGATGATTGTCGTTCTCATTTGATTGTTCTTGGATCTAGACGTTTGTCGATCATTTGCTTCCAGGCTCCATCAGTACAACACAAAGGTCTGTTGGAAAAATGGCTCACCTAAAAGGATACAAAGTTTTTTGGCGCTCAAAGGATGATTTTGAATCTGCCTAAAAGCGACCGGTCGCTGGACATTTGCGACCGGTCGTTTTGAGTCTTTCTTCTTCAACTCTCTTCTCTCTCTCTCTCTCTCTCTCTCTGTTATCTGGGGCCCTAGTCATTAACAATCAAGTTAAGTGCTCTGTTCAACATTGTCCAAAAGGGTATCTGCTAAAATTGGTGGACATTACTTTCCCAACCAATTTGGACTTCTATTAAGCCACTATCAAAAAACTCATCCTTATCCTCTTCATTGCTCAAGTCACTTGACCCATTTTCATCAGCACACATTTTTTTAAGTGGAGGTCCACAGAGTAGAGGATTTTCAGCATAATCAAGGGGATCAAAGCTTTGGAGCTGAGTGCCTGTTGGTATTTTGCCAGACAAGTTGTTATATGACAAGTCCAAGAAACTAAGACGATCTATCCGAGCAAGGCTTGTCGGAATTCCTCCATCTATATGGTTTCTTGATAAATCAAGCGAATCCAATGACTGCAAGTTTCCAATCTCTAGAGTTATTTGACCTATTAACTGGTTTCTCGAAAGGTTTAAAGAAATCAACCCAACAAGATGAGTGATTTCACTTGGAATCTCCCCTGTTAATCTATTGCTTGAGAGATCAATTCTCTTCACAAGGCCCAAAGTGCTTTTGTATGTCTGCATTCTTCCTTTCCATATGAAGCTTGCATCATTCTCATAATTAATATAACTTCGGAAAAAATCATCCCTACGTGGATATCTAGTATAAGGATGTGTGCTGGATAGAATTGAATTTCCTTTTTGATCTAGAGTAGTCAAATTGTTGAGGCATTTGGGTATGCTTCCAGAGATGTTGTTCATAGAGAAATCCATAATTTTAATGTGTGTTAGATGGCATAATTGTGAGGGCATGCTTCCATTGAAGTGATTAGTGGAAAGCATCAGGATCTGTCTTTCTTCTTCAACTCTCTTCTCTCTCTCTCTCTCTCTCTGTTATCTGGGGCCCTAGTCATTAACAATCAAGTTAAGTGCTCTGTTCAACATTGTCCAAAAGTTGGAGAGGTCAAGAGTAACAAGGCTTGTACTGTAGTTGGACAACCAAAGAAATATTGAAGAAGTGAGATGGTTGTCAGAGAGAGAAACATACGCAAGAGATGTAGAAGAATTTGTTTTGTAAAGAGTAGTGGAAAGAATTGGAGTAGGAGGAGGAGGAAGACTACAGTTCACCATGGTCAACGCTACTAGTTTAGGGAGCTTATTAAGTATTGCTTCTGGCCAATTGAAAACAGTACTGAGATTGTTTCTGCTTAGGTGCAAATTTGTTAAAGAAGAAAGAGCAGGGAGCCAATTGAGATTTTCTGGTTGAAGATGATTATAGCTGAGGTCGAGATGTTGCAATTGCGTGAGGTTTCCAAACGAACTTGGAATTTGACCGACCAAATTACAGAAATGGAGACTGAGGTACCTTAGATTAGTTAGAGAACCAATGAAATCTGGAATTTGGCCCCCATCGAAGCTTCTGCTTAGGTACAAATCTGTTAAAGAAGAAAGAGCAGGGAGCCAATTGAGATTTTCTGGTTGAAGCTGATTATAGCTGAGGTCGAGATTTTGCAATTGCGTGAGGTTTCCAAACGAACTTGGAATTGGACCAATGAAATGACAGGAACTGAGATGGAGGTTTCTTAGATTGGTTAGAGAACCAATGAAATCTGGAATTTGGCTCCCATTGAAGCTTCCGCTTAGGTCCAAATCCGTTAAAGAAGAAAGAGCAGGGAGGCAATTGAGATTTTCTGGTTGAAGCTGATTATAGCTGAGGTCGAGATTTTGCAATTGCGTGAGGTTTCCAAACGAACTTGGAATTGGACCAATGAAATGACAGGAACTGAGATGGAGGTTTCTTAGATTGGTTAGAGAACCAATGAAATTTGGAATTTGGCTCCCATTGAAGCTTCCGCTTAGGTCCAAATCCGTTAAAGAAGAAAGAGCAGGGAGGCAATTGAGATTTTCTGGTTGAAGCTGATTATAGCTGAGGTCGAGATTTTGCAATTGCGTGAGGTTTCCAAACGAACTTGGAATTGGACCAATGAAATGACAGGAACGGAGACGGAGGTTTCTTAGATTGGTTAGAGAACCAATGAAATCTGGAATTCGACTCCCATTGAAATCAATGAATGAAAGGTCCAAATACGTTAAAGAAGAAAGAGCAGGGAGCCAATTGAGATTTTCTGGTTGAAGATGATTATAGCTGAGGTCGAGATGTTGCAATTGCGTGAGGTTTCGAAACGAACTTGGAATTGGACCAATGAAATAACAGAAACTGAGATTGAGGTACCTTAGACTGGTTAGAGAACCAATGAAATCTGGAATTTGGCTCCCATTGAAATCAATGAATGCAAGGTCCAAATATTGTAAATGCTGCAACTCAATCAGTTTAGGACTAATCATCTTACCTTGGAAAGAATAATATCCAAGATCAAGTTGAATCACATGGCCAGTTTGGTTGCTACAATAGACTCCTTCCCATCTGCAACAATCTTGTTTTTCGGCTTCTGAACCCCAAGTTGAGAGTTGATTGAACACATCCATCAGGTCACGTTTGAATGCAAGTAGTGCTTGCCTTTCCCTCTCTATGCACCTCACTGTCACTTTAGCATCTCTGAGGCTGTGGCTGTGGTTGTGGCTGTGGCCAACTTCTCCTCCTTTTACGTTTTGTAGGAAAAGGATCAAAAGTGCAAGAAAGAGTTTCAAGCACCTTCCGTCGCCCTTCATGTTAATTGATCAAAAGCACATGCACATGCAAAAACACTGCAAGTGTATATTGATATATGCTAGCTTGCATCAGATATATATAGGAAATAAGGAAGAAAGCTTGTACAAAGAAAAACACGGTTTAGCTAAAACAGTGCCACACATTCATATAAGACAAAACCATATAAAGGAGTAAATTATTTGAGACTAGAATGCTTAATTAATGTTACGGAAATCACACGTCAATCATAATGAGACTAGAATGTCAAGGTGCAATTCTAAGTTCTTACAAATAAGAATACAAATCATTTGCTAAAGAAAATTGCTAATACTTTAGATTCAAATCTCTTTATCATGGAGATAATTAAATTAAGTACACTCTAATTAGAAACCAAATTAATTATGCTGCACGAGCTAAAAAGTAAGATGCAGGAATAACAATTACCGAAACCAAATTAATTATGATATGGCATGGATGAAACGAATGATGATCACAATATTTAAATTAATATTCCACTACTTTAATTCTCAACAGCAACAAAATTGATTTTTGTCAATTGTATGCATGTTTTTTTTTGTTTCCCCATTGTTCGTTCTTGAAGGGTTTTGCTTTTTATCACCCTGTTATTTTAATTTTAATTTTTTGTTTCTTAATGTTATACAAAGTTTAGATTTTTTCTACTTAAGAGTCAAGGGTGGGTCCAACAAAAAAATAAGAATCTAGAGTGACATCTTTTAACCTGTAATGAGGAGAACTCTCTAGTTTTAATTTACAAAAAGACGCTCTTAGATATAGGTCCAATTTCATTTATATCATCAGAAGTGGACTATACCAAATTTTCTAAAAAGAAGAAAAAAAAAAACTATACAATGTACACATTAGGTTTAATTTATGGCACATCGATACACCTGTAGCACTGTAGAATTTTCGAAGACTTTTAAGTCTCCGCAGCCATATGTAACTCACACGTCAAGTAGGTGTTGGCTGTCCAATTAGACTAGTTAGAAATGATGAAGAGTTTGCAGGGAAAGATCTACTAAGATATCTTTTGCTGGAAAAAGGAGGATGATAGATGTAGTGTTCATACTACTATTTTTTAATTTCGATAAAAAAAAAGTACTACTTTTAAAATTTTGGGTTAATTTTTTTAATATAAAAAGAATTGTGTACGTTCGGTGACATAGCATGCTGTTTTGCTGAATAGTGACATAGCTCCATGATGCTCTCATACCATGCCATGTGGACAACCACCCCGTATATGTAGATTCAATTTCAAATACCTATGAATGTATCATTCAGAAAGGAATATGATTTCTTGTAACGGGAATAGCACTATATTGTTATCTCCACAATAATGCTTGAAAAAATTATCCTAGGTGGTTTGAAACATTTACTAGTATACCTTGTGATTAGTGTGGCAAACAAGTTTAAGAGGAAACGTTTCAAGATGGAGTAATATTTTTTTTCTAGGGTTAAATAAAAAAAATTTAGATGCAAGGGAAATTACTAAGACAATGAATACAAGATTTGTGGAAACACATATTTCACTGATCAATAAAAAAAATGACACGTGAAAAAAAGATATTTCTTAAATCAACTAATTATCATAATTAAATCCTATTGAGCATTGGTTCATCTTAGTAATTTGTAACGTTGGGCAGGGAGCTTGCTGTGGACAGCTATCTTCAAGTAGACTTTGAAGTCTTGGTATGCAAACTCATGATGACTGACTCACACAAAAAGACTGTCAAGTCTTTTCAATATTTTTTGGTTCCACAAAAAGACTGTTAAGTCTACATATTTGAGTGTAAACTAGACTTTTAAGTCTTTGCACATCCATATTTAACTCAAACGTCAACAAATGGTAATTTTATTGTTTTCAAATGAAAGATTGAAAAGTGAATATGAGGGACACGGGTGAACAAAAGGAAGAGAGGCTCCCCACTTTAATTCATGTCACTACGTGGAAAAAGCTCGTTGAAGAAAAATTTGTCGGTGGTCCAAGTAAACAAGTAATAAATCATTGAACAGGAGAAATTAATGGATGAGATTGAAGACTTATGACTTAGATTTGATATGGTGATTTGCCTCTGACTTGCAGGCACTGACTAGACTTGACTTGGCGAGGTGCCTTCTCGTGTCCACTCAACCATTAGCTTTGCATCCCATCCCCCTGGGCACAAGTTACAAATATTTTCGTGCAAATGTGGACTTGACTTAAGTGAAACATATGGAAATATCTCTACTCAATCATTATTATAATACCTATATATTTATTGATACAAATAAATGAATATTGGGTTTTTATTCAACAACTATAATACAAGAGTTTCTCAAAACACTTTGGTTATTGACCAAGTCTATTTTGAAATGCCCCTATAATTTAAATTGATATTAGATGGGGTCTTACGATTACACAAGAAAGTTTCTCGTATTATAGTTATGATCACGAAACACTTAATTATATTTACTGTTGGATAACTGATCATACACTTAATTATATTTACTGTTATATTTCTTTGAAGGGTTTTGCTTCTTATCACCCTGTTATTATAATTTTAATTTTTTATTTCTTAATGTTATACAAAATTTAGGTTTTTTCTACTTAAGAGTCCAGGGTGTTTCCCACAAAAAATAAGAATCTAGGGTGGCATCTTGTAACATGTAATAAGGAGAACTCTCTAGTTATAATTTACAAAAAGGAGCTCTTCGATATAGGTCCAATTTCACTTATGTTATCAGAAGTGGACTATACCAAATTTTCTATAAAGAAGAAGAAAAAAACTATACAACGTACACATTAGGTTTAATTCATGGCGCATTGATGCACCTGGAGCATTGTAGAATTTTCAAAGACTTTTAAGTCTCCACAGCCATATGTAACTCACACGTCAAGTAGGTGTTGGCTGTCCGATTAGACTAGTTAGAAATGATGAAGAGTTTGCAGAGAAAGATCTACTAAGATTTCTTTTGCTGGAAAAAGGAGGATGACAGATGTAGTGTTCATACTACTATTTTTTAATTTCAATAAAATAAAAATACTATTTTTAAAATTTTGGTTAATTTTTTAATATAAAAAGAATTGTGTATGCTCGGTGACACAACATACTGTTTTGCTGAATAGTGACTTAGCTCAATGATGCTCTCATACCATGCCATGTGGACAACCACCCTGTACATGTAGGTTCAATTTCAAATACATATGAATTTATCATTCAAAAGCAAAAACATTTTTTGTAACGGGAATAGCACTATATTGCTATCTCTACAATAATGCTTGAAAAAATTAGAGATATTTACCCATTCTTAGCACTTAAACTATAAATAAACCCCACATCATTTAATTTTTATAAATAAACCCAAAAAATGACAGCTAGATCTATTGAATTTAATTTTGATTATTAAATTACTTTGATACCCTATTGAGTGTTTTGGACTTTTTTATGAGGTTTTTGGGTTGTGTTTGTTTTAAGAAATCAATGACAGTTTTGTAATTTAATCGAAGTTAAAAGCCTTTTTGTTATGTTATAAATGGGCTTTGGGTGTGTTCTAAAGTCCATTTCATATATGGTTTTTTTTAATAATTTGAGCTCTTATATTGAGTATAATAGTGAATCTCCCAAAAAATTATCCTAGGTGGTTTGAAACATTTACTAGTATACCTTGTGATTAGTGTGACAAACAAGTTTAAGGGGAAACATTTCAAGATGGAGTATTATTTTTTTTTTAGGGTTAAATAATTTTTTTTTAGATGCAAAGGAAATTACTAAGACAATCAATGCGTGATCTGCGGATACACATATTTCTCTGGTCAATAAAAAATGACACGTGAAAAAGAGATATTCCTTAAATCAACTAATTATCCTAATTAAATTTTATTGAGCATTTGTCCATCTTAGTAATTTGTAACGTTGGGCAGGGAGCTTGCTGTGGACAGCTATCATCAAGTAGACTTTGAAGTCTTCGTATGCAAACCCATGATGACTGACTCACACAAAAAGACTGTAAAGTCCTTTCAATTTTTTGGTTCCACCAAAAGACTTTTATACTTAAAAGTCTTTGCACATCCGCATTTAACTCAAACGTCAACAAACGGTAATTTATTTATTTTTTCCTTTTTTAATTGCTCAATTACTTTAATTTACCATTTTTATGTTTTTTCTTTCTTTGAAAAGCCAACTGGTCGTAGAGACAAAGCTCCGGAAAATTGTTTTTCCACTTGCTAATTTCCCCGAACTCGAAAGGCCAATAAGCTCCTTGGGAATCTCTTTGGAAAGTGTGCTATTGTAGTGTTTTCAAATGAAAGACTGAAAAGTGATTATGAAGGACACGGGTGAAAAAGGAAGAGAGACTCCCCACTTTAATTCATGTCACTATGTGGAAAAAGATAAATGAAGACCTCTGACTTAGACTTGCCCTTCATGCGTGCTCCAATTGACGTGCAGGTATTGACTTGACTTGACTTGGTAAGGTGCCTTCCCGTGTCCACTCAATCAATGGCTTTGCATCCCATCCCCTGAGCACAAGTTACAAATATCTTTTTGCAAATGTAAACTTGACTTAAGTGAAACATATGGAAATATCTCTACTCAACCTAATATTAATATAATACCTATATATTTATTGATACTAATAAATGAATATTGGGTTTTTATTCAACAACTATAATATGAGAGTTTGGTTATTGACCAAGTCTATTTTGAAATGCCCCTATAATTTAGGTTAAACATGGGGGCTTACAATTACACACGAAAGTTTCTCTTATTATAGTGATGATCACGAAACACTTAAGTATATTTAGTGTTGGATATCTGATCATAGAGTTTCGAAGCAGCTTCCTTCATTTTGCATTCAGATTCTTTGATTTGATTTGTTTTGTTGCTCGTTAAATGATTAGTATATGAATTACTCGGTCCCGTTCTTCTGGACTCCTATGATCCAAGGAATTTGTGGTCACCCACCCTTGGATATAAATGATAATATAATGATTATTAAAAAACACAAGTTTAAAAATAAAAATAAAAAAATAAAAATAAAAAACTAAAGAACAAAACACGGTCCCAGGGAAGAAAGAGAGCTTGGGTGGTGAGATGCATATTGATTGGTTGAGGAGCAATTCTCAGTCAGAATTGGGGCGAGATTCTGAAGACGATGAGCAATTCTCAATCAGGGTAAATTATCTATATATAAAATACGTAAATATTTTTAAAGAAAAAAGGTACATTAATTATAAGAAAAAAGGTACATTATTTCTATAT